TACTGGCTGGGAGAAGGGAAAGAATCAGGGAAGGTTTTGTTGCCTCTGATATGGGTATGATGGATTGGAGCAGAAATAGAAGGAATGAAGCAATCTAGCTAGAGGGGACAACATGAGCAAAGACACAGGGATGGGAGAGTACAAGGCAAGCCCAGGTAACAGCAAGTGATCTGATTTGGCTGAAGGACAGGGTGCATGTACATAAAGAATGAAAGTGACGGAAGAAGATAAACATTTCTCAAAGAATGGCAGTAGTTTATTCCCCACTAGTGTGAAAAATATTTTTGTAATGAAAGATTAAGACCTGCATTTGAAACAGGAAACATCTTTGGCATGTCTCACTCTAAACAAAGCCCTAATTACATTAATGATATTAGGAGAGTCTCCAAACAGCAATATTAATGTAGGAGGAAGAGCTGTGGTCCTGAAGGAAGGAGATACAGACAGTTCTCGTTTTACATAAATTCACATTATGCAAATTCAACTTCATGTAAAGAATTCTGAAAGAAATCCGCATTCCAAAAAAAAGACCTATGTTAACTTTACTGTACAGTACTGTGCTTTCTCTCTCTCTCCCCTACTCCTAGCCTTCTGTCCCTCTGCTTGGAGCTCCACAGACTTCCACCCCCTCCACTCCCTCCACAAAACAAACAAACAAAAAAAAAACAAAACACAAAAACCACCCAAAACAAACAAACAAACAACAACAACAAAAAAAAAAAAACTTAAATAAAAACCCCTCCAAGTGAAAGCAGATCAGACATGCAAGAGAGAATACCACCACCACCAGATTGGGGGCGTGGCATAAGACATCCAGTGCTGAGAGAGGAGACCTCTGCCCCGCTCTGCCCACCCACCTGTGTCCAGCCCCTGAATGTCTGTCTTCCATCTGTCTGCACTTGAGTATCATGTGTCTGTCCCCTGAGTACCACCAGTCTTCTCCTGTCTGTGTATGTGTCTAGCCACCATATGTCTTTCCCACCTCCACATATTCTTCCTTTTGATTCTGGAAAGGCCCCCCCATGGCTGGCCCTAGTGCCAACTGTGTTCCTCCTCCCGTTCTTGCTTCTCCGTCCCAATCCCCACATGTCCTTCAACTGTGTGCCAGCCTCCTCACCCCCATAGGCATGCAGCCCTCTTCCTGCTTCCTTCCCTCCCTTCCCCATGTCCTTAGGTAAGTTCGCATTACATAAAAATCGCTTTACGTAGAGGTCTGCGGAACGGTCCACTTACGAAAAGCGAGAACTGTCTGTACTCACATGTTTCGATGGACTGGGCTGAACTCGGGCCTCAACTAACAGCTGAGCAGAATTGGACTTGTGTCTAAAAGACAAAAGATGGGATTTTTTTTAACCCTTTAGGAAAAAGAAATAGGAACCCAAACATAACCAAGTATCTTTCTCTTTAAATAAAGGAATGGTGGGCCAAAAAACCTAAATAAACTGTACGGGGACTACAGAGAAGTGACTAATATGTTTTTGCTTTTGGTTTCTAAACTACTCCTAGGAAAGAGCAAATTTTCCTTCCGTTCCTAATCTACTGTGCTTTCAATTGGTGTAACAAGCTTTGCTTCCCTATACACTAACCTGTAATGAGATACTGTTTGTGAAGGACTTTAAGCATTCTGAGATAAAACCCCCATAGAAAGTTAGAGTCTCTATATTAAATATTATGAATCCAAGTAGAGGTAGAATCATTCCTAACACATATCATTTCTGTAACTTATTTAGGTGAAGATGCCCTCTTTCAAATAGAAAACTGAAACCATTCCCACAGAGTTACTGGTTTTATTTACGTTTTGAGTAACTCATCGCATAAGGTCAATATGATGTGTCTGCTAAAAAAAGTTAATGTGGTATCAATATACATTAGAATGGTGTCCTGATCACAGGAAATGGCAAACTCAGTGGTACATACATCTAGAATACCCTGTGAAGTTTTAGACACTGTACTTTGGACATTGGCTACTCAGAGTATGTGCAAGAGGGGACTGGGAATGATGGTTATAGTAGAGCCTGGGCAGAGGGTAGTAACTGACTCAAATCAATGCCAGAAGACAAGGTAGGAAGAAATAGTATTTTTTTGCAGGGAAAAGACAAAGAAAAAACAAGAGAGTTGGGTTCGAATATTTGTAAGGCTGTCAAATAGATTAAAAAACAAATTCTTTTGTGTGTTGTGGAAGGCCAGACAAGAACAAATGAGGGGGCAGATTCTGTCTAAACATGGGGAAGAAATTCCTAGCCAATGTAAGTGGAACTGTCCAACAGTAGAAGATGCTATCCCAAGAGATGAAAGCATCCCTGATTTAGGGAGAGAAGGAACGTAAGGGCATCTGGTCCAGCCCCTTTTTCATTTTATGGATAAAAATAACGAGGCCCACAAAGGCTAGTGATAGAGGTACAAAGGAGTAGATGAGGGATTTGACTCCAGGTTCTCTGATCCCAAATTTAGTGTTCTTTCTTTTGCAATAACATTTCTCTTCATCACAGGTGCTTAAGTAGTGACCAGAAGGCCAGTTACCAAAGATATTTTACTGACTGACTATCCTCTAAGGTTCCTTCCAACTTTAAATTCTATGATTCAAAGTGTCTTCATTTGAAAAGCCTCCAAGGGAGGCTACTACACCTAGCATTCTACAAAGAGGTAAGCAGCCAGTCAGTTAACAAGCATTTATTAAGGGCTTACTACATATCAGACACTATGCTAAGTGATGAGGATATAAAGAAAGGCAAAAACATGCCCCTAAAGAGTCCACAGTCTAATGAAGGAGACCACAAGCAAACAGCTCTTTTCATACAAGATATATACAGTGTAGAAGAGAGGCCATCCCCTACAGAGGGCAGCTAGCAGTAGGGCATGGAGGTGGAGACACAGGGACTGAGAGAGGAAGTATTCTTACAGATGGTGAGATCTAAGCTGAGTCCTGAAGGAAACTAAAAAAAACCAAAAGGCAGAGGTGAGAGGGAGAGCATTCCAAATACAGGAAACAGTCTGTGAAAAGGAATGGAGTCAGGAGATGGAGCATGATGTCCAAGCAACAGCAAATGGCTGGCATTGCTGCAAAGTAGAGGGGGTATAGAATCAAGAGTGAGAAGCCTGGAAAGGGCCAGATTATAAAGAACTTGAAATGTCACACAAAGGGCTTTATATTGGATTCTGAAGGGAATAGGCTTGACAGAACCAAGGACCCTGTAAATAGAATATATGTCACTTGAGCTTTTAGACTTGAAGGGTAATATTAAACCAGTCTAGAGGGATAATAATAGTATACATCCTTGAATGAACGTTGTGGTCAAAAGAAACACTGCATAAGAAGCACATTACAGAATCACAACTTCTATTTCGATAAGTACCTTTACTGGTGACTGAAGGAAATAATCAGTTTGGAATATCATCATTTGTGACAAGACAGGTTCCATGTTTAAAGTATCAAGCGGGTAGATATTAGTGGTGCCAAAGACTAGGGACAAAGTCACAATCATTTTAAATGTAATCGAACAGATCTTCTGGGTAGCAATTCTAGAGAGAAACATTGAAGTTTCATTTGAGATTACTGCACTCATCTGCTACCCCTGGATCCCACATGGATGTTCTGGTCACTTTCTAATAAAACAGGCCGAACATTCTTGCCAGCCACAGAATAAATGGACTCTGCTCTTTGGGTGGCACAGATGAAAAGTAAAATGGCACTTCCAACAACAATTTCAGATCCTGCCATTTAAAAAGAAACACTTCCAAGAATAATTTTCTAGGTACTAAAGGAGAATGTAGTTGTTGGTGATAGCTTTGTTTTATAATTGTAAAAAACAAACTTACATTTTTCATTCATTCCTTCACCCAAACACTTACCTTTCCAGTATCTCTGAGACTTGCCAGTGGAAATTAACTAATACAAGTTTAGCCACTGAATGAGACACCTAGAAAGAAAGAAGAAAAGTAATCATACCAGGGCTACATCTTTCTTAGATTTTTTTTTTTATTTTATTTTTTTTTAGGCAGTTGGGGTTAAGTGACTTGCCCAGGGTCACACGCTAGTAAGTGTGTCAAGTGTTTGGTCTGAGGCCGGATTTGAACTCAGGTCCTCCTGACTCCAGGGCTGGTGCTCCATCCACTGTACCACCTAGCTGCCCCTACATCTTTCTGAGAGTACTGAATACTCCTAGATGCATATAAATTAACTTCTTGAACTCAGAAATCACATATGCAATGTGGACAATGTTAATGACTGTCACAGCTTGGTCAGCACCACAGGAAGAAGAGAGGGTGTGGTCAAGCAGCAAAGTATCAAGACCCAGATTCTTATCTTCAACTAAATTAAGCAACTTCTTCTTAAAAGCCTACTGCACACAAAGTATACTCCTTATCTTGGTCACTCTCCTTCTCTGGCCCTCCTTGTTCTATAAAATTGTGCAATCTGATGAGATGACCTTTTAACTAATAGTCTATAAAGTCTGAAGGAATCTCTCTTAGGAAACCCAACCATCACTTTGGGTAACTTTAAACGTTTTTTTATTATAAACAGTAACCAAAAAAGAAAAATAAACATACAAAAATAAGGTGGGGAAAATCTTACATAAAATCTTCAATGTCTTAACCAGATGAAATAACTAAACAAAAAAGTTGTGCTTACTTTGTACCCATCTCCACAATCATGGATTCCTGTTACCTTTGTTTAAACATACATACACATATGTAAGTACATACACATACATACATATGGACTCAATGTATTTATCATTTTAGTTTTGCTGATCTTGCTTTGCATTACTTCATATGTCTATTTCCTTGCATTTATATGTATTTTTTGTTATTTTTTAAACAGCTAACATTTAATTAGCACTTTAAGGTTCGCAAAATGTTTAACAAAGATTATCTCATTTCATCCCCACAACTCCTGTGGCATGTAGTGCAATTATTATCTCCATTTTACAGATACAGAATATCAGACAGAGGGAAGTTAAGTGACTTGCCCAGGGCCACACAGCCAGTAAATATCTGAGGCTGAACTTGAACTCAGGTCTTGCTGACTCCATGCCCAGCACTCCATCCACTGAACTGCCTAGATTTTTTTTGAAAAAGGATGTCATAACGGAGAACTGACCTTGAAGCCATCCAGTTACACCTGCTGAATGACATTGGGCAGGTCAAGACAACTCTCTAAAAGGCTTAAATTTCAGAGAAGGTGCCAACTTGCACTGAAGGAGTTTCTTCATCTGGTAGTTCCTTTTTTCAGTGAAATCACAGGTCCACAGTCCCTACCTCCCTTAATATTTTTATATTCCATTATATTAATATACGATAATTTATTTGGTCATCTCCAATCATAAGATATATTGGATGTTTCAGGATGGATAACTTTTGATGTGATATTTACACATTGAAGATCACATAATTTGACTTACACAAAGATAATAAGATGGCTGATTTTTATACAATCATAGACTCACTCACAGGACCTTAGAGTTTGGGACTTCAAAGAACCTCCAGTCCATTTTACAGATCAGGAAACTAACCTTCACAAGAAGGCAGTATGATTTAGCCAAAATCATTTGTTTTCTCGGACTGTACATTTCAGAAGTATAATAACATAGTTACAAGAACTCTAAGGAACCTTCAATTTAAGAAACTTAAATGATGCAGCATAATAAATGACAAGGTCAATGAAGAGCTCTGGCCCTTGATATTTAAAGTCTCCCCAATTCTTCTTCAAGTCCTGTCTCAGTTGTTGCTTGTTTACATCTCACATTTCACACACCTTATAAAGAGATTGCTCAGATGTCTTCAGAAAAACCCAGGAAGACTTATTTAACTGATGTAAAGTGAAGTGAGTAGAACCAGGAAAACACTGCATACAGTAACAGCAACACTGCACGATGATCAACTGGGAATGACTTAGCTATTCTCAGCAATACAATGATCCAAGACAATTCCAAAGGACTTATGATAAAAAAAAAAATGGTATCCACTTTCAGAGAAAGAACTGATGGAATCTGAATGCAGATCAAAGCATGCTTTTTTACCATTCTTCTTTTGCAGGGGGGCTGTGTTTTCTTTTACAACATGACTAATATGTAAATGTTTTACATGACTGTACATGTACAACCTTTATCAAACTGCTTGCCTTCTCAGTGAGAGGGGAGGAGGGAGGGAATTTAGAGCTCAAAATTTAAAAAAATGAATGTTAAAAAAATTTTTCTTGTTAAATTTGTAAAAACTTTTTTACATGTAATTGGAAAAAAAATAAAATCTTTAAAAAGGACACTAATTAGGAATCTGGGTGCTTTGTTTTTGAAATTTAAAATACAATTCATTTACAAATAAGCAATAGATGTGAAAATAGAAGACAAACTTTTCACAAGTACTTGCAGAGTTGATACAGCTTGTGAGAAAAGTACTTTAAAAGCTTTAAATTGTTATAAAGTCAGTTTTTAACACACAGAAAACATGATAGCAGAATGAGGATTTAAACACAGGTCCTGTACCCCTGTACCCCTGAATCCATACATTTACATTTACAAGTATATCTCCCCTTAATGTATGTATGTATGTATGACTGCTCTTACTTTTTGACCCAGAAGTCCCACTCCTAGACACATAACCCCAAAAAGTTAACGACAAATAGGTCTCACATTTAACTAAATGCCAAAGTAACATTTTTTTGTAGTAGTAAAAATTTGAAGGAGAGGGGAGAAAGGGAGAGGTACCTTTGGAAATGGTTTAAGAAACTGTGGTATGAGAATGTAATATGGAATCTCACTGTACACTAAGAAATGACAAATAAAAGGAATTCAGAGAAATATGGGAAGACTTGTATGAACAAAACACATTAAAGAGACCAGACCTAGCAGAACGATGTACATAATGACAATAATGCAAAGAAAAATGACACTAAGATAAGCTGTAGTAACTAATTTTAGTCCCACAGAAGAGATGATAAAATACATTTTTCTCTTAGTGCTGCTAGGACCGGCATCTGAGAGGGTCTCCTCCCTCCCCAACATGTCTTAAGGAAAGGAGACAAAGCCAGGACTTGACTGATTCCAACCTGACATAGCCTTTTGGGGGACCTCTGGCTGTATTGAGACAACTTCCTGGTTACTTAAAGCTTTGAACTCTACAGGGTGGCACCCCTAAGACATGGTGGGTGTCTGAAGACACAGAGAGTCACTACACTCTGCCCTGCTGACCAAACATATCTCATATGGAAACAAGGGAGGCTCATGTCTTTCTGCATCTTTGTTGCATATCCTTTCTATGTTAGAGCTAGGTAAATCTTCATTTGTTAAATGTTCAATGGCAGGCATGCAAGGCAACGAGCAGTCTTAAGAACTTACTAGGTGCCAGGCATGGTTCTAATTGCTGAGAATAGAGATAGAAGCAAAAAGATAGACAGTCTCTGTCCTCGAGAAGTTTATATTCTAATGGAGGAAGATAAGACATAAAAGGGAGCTGAAGGAGGGGGGAGGAGAAATTACCTTTGAAGGGGCATGGTAGGGTTGGCATGGTGGAGGGATGCTATAGGGTGAAAGGCCACAAGGAAGTGAAGGAAGATCCAGAGTAAGAAAATAGCTGAATGACGGTGGCAAAGTCAGATGAGTCAGAAGCACAGCCAAGAGGAGAAAGGCCCAAGAAGTGTCCTATTTCACTCCAATATCAAATCTGAACAGGATACAATGTCTGGACTCCTCCTTACATGTTTCTTGGTACAAAGGTGTGGGACTCACTCCCTGGTCATTTTTGCTAAACTCTTTTTCTTTGTTACTGGGGGGCTTTCACAGGGGCAGGGCTAAGGGTTCTTAATCTTATATCCATGAAATATATACATAATACACATACACACATGTATATCAATAACTGTATTTCAATATAATTAGCTTCTTTGTAATCCTATGTATTTTATTTCATGCATTTAAAAACATTCAGGAAGGGACCCACAGATTTCACTAGATTGCCAAAAGGATCAGGACATAAAAAAGTTTAAGAACCCCCGGGCTAGGTGGTGGAAAACAATTACAATGGGAAATAACTGTGATGTAAAAAACAAAAGGCATCAATAAAATATTTTTTAAAACCTACCAAAACAGGACAATGGAAGGATATATGTGTTTAAAAATGAGCAAATTGGGTTTGAAAACAAAAACAAAAACAATGGAATGGTACTGTCCAACAAGAAAATCTATTCTTCTCCCTGTATGGAAATTCAGAACTTTGGAAAAAATCATGGTAGTTAAGTATATAGATGAAGATGACGGAGGGGAAAACAGAACTGATACTGTCATGAATATATCACATGGGAATGGCTCCAAAGTCCCTACCCTCAATGAGTTAACATTCTAACGAGATTCTAGACTTACATATATAGATAAAAATTAAAAGGTATTTTGATAAGGCAAAGAATATTACTAGTAAGGAAATCAGTTATGGGTTTCCATAAAGTAGAAACTGACCTGAGCTTTAAAGACAGCTAAGGTTTCTAAGCAGAGACAAGGAGGGATGAATTCCAAGAATTTCATCTAAAGGAGGGCAATGTCAGACATAAGCGGGCAAGTCAGGAAAATACCAAATCCAAGGTACACTTGTGTTTCAGTGAGGCATCGAGCAGCCTTTTAAGACATAATAACACATAGGATAGCACAGCTGCGGTGATGAAAAGTGCTGAATTTGAGATCAGAGGACCTGGGCCTCATTGTCGTAACTGGGAAAGTGAGGGGGCTGGAATGTATGGCCTCTAAGCTCTAAATCTGTGATGTTCAATCTGAACCTCAGGAGACACAGATGGACCCAGAACTTGTGGAGGGACTAGACCTGACAGCTGATCAATGTTAGCCCAAAGGGAGGTCTTCAGGGTGTCACGACAACTCTGCCCTCACTTAGGCTATAATCAACATCTTTATCAATGACTTGAATGAAGACATAG